AAGCGCGTCGCATTGGCTCGCGCCTCAACAACTCAAAGTGAAGATTTATTTTAAAATACACCCGTAAATCCTCTCTGCTGTTCCAACGAAATCCTCTAAGATTTGAAAAAACGCGAGACACTCTTAATGCGTATGGTGTGCACTAATGGCACGACGACCCGTTCGTTAGTGGCGTACTGATGGCTGGTTCCGCAGTCGCGAAAGGGTTAACATTAAAATTATTATATCGTATATGTACTTCTGCCACTGTTCTGCCAAAATGACAATATTTCATTTGGCAAATTTAACTAAATTTTAACCCTTTGCAATCGAGTGGTGACTGAGAAGCGACATTAAATAATTAATCGAGACAATCTTAGAGCTGATATTTTCCCAATCTATCAGACCTATAGGCCTCCATCAATTTGTGAAACAGTTTGGAAGAATCAACCTCAAGAATACGTTGAACACTGAAATAAAATAGTATAGTTTATTACGTTAGTTTTGAAAAATTTCGAAGATCCGATTTGCAACCTTTCCTATTGCAGAAAGACCGAGTGCAAAGGGTTAACCCTTTCGTGAATAAAATTGATCCTCTTCCTCGAAAACACTCTAAACAGGGTAGGAAAGGTAAAAATGATTTACTTCGTCCGGATGACCCCAACCAGACAACTGGCACATCGTTCCCGGCACCGGAGGACTCGTTGCAAGCGGTACAGTGTTCACACTCGCCGTCATAATGAACTTTGCGTGTAACTGGAACGCGAAAATTCGTGAAAAGCTTGGCGACAATTGATAAAATTCTGAGAAATTTTAGATAAAGGATATCGTACAACAAGAACGGTGTGGTCGTTATGCAGAGTCTCGTGGTCGAATCTCGGATGAACGTAAATCTTGTCCACTCCTCTCTTCTGACCAGACCACGTGCTCTCGTTCAGCTTTATTTCACCGGCGACCACTGTGATCGACCACGGTTGTATCTGTGCTTGATCTCTGCACGGATTCTCAACGTTAGCTTCTCCCACGAAAGTACACCCATCCCTCCATTTACGCGGCACTGTTTTTACGCGATCTCGTTTACGCGGTCAGATAGGTTAGGTTTTCTATAAACTTTCGAATGATAAGTTATTGACAAAAATGTCTCCGCGTTCTTTTAGACAAAGACGTGTCTGGTGTTCGTCTTCGAGTCTGCACACTGCGGTACAATAGGGTAAACAGTTCCTAGGTATAAGCGGACCCCAACTTTCCTCTTTTGGGTGTCCAGGAACAGTTCGTTAGAGCATTTGAAAGAGTAAAGACGTTTCCTCCGAGTCCGGTAATAAACAGAATATTAACAGTTTACAAAGACTATTTCATTTCCATAACTCATTTCCAATAATTCGTCTAAAAATATAAACAATAATAATGCAAACGAAGGAAGACCTGCAAATATTTGAAGCGACGAAGGTATCGACTTTGAGCCAACGAAGAAGAGAAGGTCGATTGCTTTGAATTACAGTACAGATTCTGACACCGAATCAAACTTATTTTGCTTTTCAGAAATATCGTTATTTTTTTTCATCAACCTATGCGATTTAAATGTTTTTATATAACTTACACTATTTACGCGATTTTTATTCGCGTAAATGTAGGGATGGGTGTATTTCATTACCGTCAACAATACGTATCAGTTTTATTCTGACCGACGATCTACTTAAAAAATCTCTCGATAATACTTCTGTGCCAAATATATTCCTGTTTACTCAACGTTCGATCGAGCTAGAGATAGATATATCGAGTGTGAAGGTTGATTAAGTTAAAGTCAATTAGATAATCGAGATACGGTTACTTCATCTGTTTTTAATTAACGAGATAGATTGGACAAAAATCGAGCAATTCGTGGAAACACTCACATGAACATGCAATGAGCAGCGGTGAGAACGTGACGATCGGTTATCAGCGAGCCTCCGCAAAAGTGTCTCTCGCTGTAGCTTCGCCTTAAGGATACCTGCGAAACGATTCCAAGGAAACTACAGATTTCCTAAAACTACGGATCTCGGATCGTCGAGTACGTCGATGCCACTTGTGTGAAATATTTCAGGAATCCAGTACACTCGAGACGCTGAAACGTGGGAAATGTACCTGATAAGGGAACTGCTGCAGAGCTGCCATCGTTCCATTCACTATACGCCCTGACATGCCGTAATTTATCCATTCCGCGTCTTCGTCGATGGCCGGAGTTGTTTCATTCTCCCCTGCAATAGTGAAATTTATCAATCCACTGATAATTTTGTTCGACGAGTTGTCAATAATGGAGAAATGTGACAGAATTGTGGATCTTGTGGCGTATCGAAACCTCTGCAGGTGGAAATTAGGAAAAACATGAGAGAAAAGAGTAGAAATCCTTTGAAAAATATTACACGAATCCGGAAGCAGAATTGCTCTATCATCCTCAGTTTTTGAAAATATGTATTTTTGTAAAAACACGATGTTGGACAAAAATGAGTCACTGCGTGAAAACTCCAAACGCTAAGAAGTTCCATTTAGTCTGAGAAGATGGAGGAGAAGAAGGTCGAAATTTGTTGGACAGTGGTATTTTGGCTGCCAATGCTACATTTCTTCCTCGAAGTGTACTTCTCACGTTTACACAACGAATTCGTCGAGACAGAACGCAGGTGAGAATCGTGATAAAAATGAGAGACGAGTGATCACGAGAGATCGTATTTCCATTTGAATTTTCCAAGAACTCACCACGAACCAGGATCGGCGCGATAAATGCGAGCACCAGAGCGAAAGGATGCATCCTGAGGATTCCTCCTACGTTCGCTGTTGGCAAATTAATTTCTTCCTTAATCAGTTCACCTGTATTCTCTGTGATTTCCCGCGAACGATTTACCGCTGACCAACTGACTACGTCGCAATTGCAGTGGAGGGAGAAGTTCGTTATCGCCACTTCACGAACAATACTTATCTTCGCGAGATAACAGCTGACGATTGTTATCCAACGTTAATTGCGATCGATGCCTCGCGTAAAGTTTATCGGCGAGAAAGAATTTCCGTTGTCCGCGATTTTTCTCTCCTTTCGAACCGAAACCTATTCTTCGACAAGCTGCATCTGTTGGACGAGAAAGGAGACAATAGGATACGAAGTGGAGAACGTTTCCGGTCTGTTGATCTGTCGAGATAAGAGTGTCGCAATTTTCACAGCGAAACGTAGCGATGAAAGTAATCGAAAGTGACAGTTGGCGTGAATCAGGACTTGTCGAGAGCGTAACAGAGAGAAAATCGACGTGATTTTTTGAGTAACGATCGATTGTTATTATCGCTTCGTGTTGTGCAACGTGAGACACTGGTAACCCAGTTTCCAACAAATTCGGTCAGGTCTACTGCCTTAAATCTTCACTTACTGATAATTCTCGATCTAGATCGTGTCGTTATCTCGCGTAAAATCGACGTTTCGTCGACTTCTGTCTCGTGGAATTACCCGTTTTTCCCGGTGGACATTTTCCTCCGATCTATCAAAATCACCTGTGAACGAGAATCCAGGAAGGGAGAGAGAGAGAGAGGAACAGGTGGCTAACGATGCACGTGTGCGCCCGAAACGTGGCTGCGGAGGCCTCGAGAGCTGCGTATTAGATCCTCGAGGATCGTCCAAGTGCAAATTAACGCTGCGTCGATCGATCTTGGCCCCGGGGACGAGAGTTGGCCGCTTTCCAACGATGAATTACACCGAGAAACCGGTATATACGTACCTGTTCGTGTCGCTATTAAACGACGAATTAATCGCCAACCGTCCAGAGGAAAATAAATATTCATAAAAGCACTCTCTCTCTCTCGTCTTGGTTCTACCCACCGTCGAACGGCGAGATTCGATGGTAGCGATGTTCCGCCGATCAATTATCACTTGGAGAGCGTCGCTTTATTGGGCGAATTAACGAGTGCGCGGGATGAAAGCAGCCGGTGATTACTTATTATTTATAAGACACCGGGCCGCTGTAATTGCCGCGGTAACTGCCACGTTTCCCGGATTATTTACGAGCCGGTTCCTCTGGCAGGCATCCCTGTTCGGCCCTTTTTAACCCTTACCGCGATGGAAATCTGCGGAACGATTGTCTCGAGCGTGGAATTTAAACGAACCTTTAAGGAGATTCTGATTTTTTGCGGATGAACGTGGAGAAGTGTGCTAGAAATTCCAGGTGAATTGATCAATTTTTCGTTTTGTCGTTTACGAGAAATTGAGGAAGAATTAGAATACGATAAACCTGAAAACTTTACAATAAACACAGTTATTCTTCAATACTTCGACTGTCTATATTTTACTAATTTTACTGTTAAACTCGATTAGTCGCTTAACTAGTCGAAGGTTCGTGTCATATAAGGCATACTATTCTGTCCAAAAATCACTCTTGGGATTCTGTATCTTCATGTCTAACTATCGACGATAATTTATAAATTATAAATTAGTGTGTGTATGTGTTAACAGATTTGTCGAATGGCGACGTTTCTACCCCTTAGGCAGTCCTCGGTCGCAATCACACCTATCCCGAAGTTCCACATTGGCAGAGTGACTTTGTGGCTTTACGACACGTCTGTTACTATCGAGTGTCCACTCCCGGACATCAGAAGGGCGTGCAATCCGCAGAAACGCAGAGTTACAGCGTCCATAAAACACCTTCCGAGCCTCGACCTCGATCAAAAGGCAAATTTACCGAAAAATCTTGCACTCAGAAATAGCAGATTAGTGCCCGTGTCGTAAAGCAGTTATTGCAGTTGCCTTGGAACGCGATACTTTCTTTTCAATCGTGAATTAACCCCTTGCCGTGTAACAACGTGTCAGACATGTGGCAAAGATTTTGGTCAAGATGTGAGAAAAATAGTTATATCGGTAAGAAAAATTCATCGTAATCCTAATCCTAAGAGGTTTACTAAATGTAATTAATCCGTAACAGATTAGCTTTCGTTACCTGGCACAGTAGTGTAGGGGATTTATGTGAGGAGGGATAGTAAACTCGAACGGACTTTTGACTATACTATATTTATTAATACTTTATATTGCTAGGTGCTACGCTAAGGATGTCGCTCAATCAATCGCTGGATTCATACTGCCTTTCGCTCCCTCGCCTTCGCCCTAATGTCATCTTGCATACATGCACACTTTTCGTTAGAAGAAAACACACACGCACTCCTCGCCTGATTACTAAAACTAAACATTCGTTCAATATCTTTCGCGCTATCCCAAACACTCGACCTGGCACGCCGGTCCTTACCGCTCACGCCATAGACCCTCACGCATTCACACAGACAACGCATTCATACAAACAACGCACTCACGCTCGGTCATCCCTACAGTAGTGTGTCAAGAAACGATAGGTTCAGTCATACTTATAGTTGCAACTCACGAACAAATGTACGAATTGTAGGCATTTTGGGACGGTTTATGGCTTGGCCTGCGCCTCTTGGCGAGTGACGGTTCGGCCCAGCGATATATCCTTTGCCTTTCGACGACAGTCCGTTCTTAGCTTCGGAAGAGTCCGAAATAAACTACTTTGCGCGACATCCTGATTTGAGTAAAGTTCATTAGACCACCTCCTACAGAATCGATCTGAAATTTTCAGAATATCAAGCTCGTATATTAACAAACTTCTCTGTTAACCCTCACGTCAATAACCAGAACTGTCGTCTACTTTATCGTCCAATTTTAGTAGTTTTCTGATAAGAAAATTCGAAACTTGAGGCAAACACGGATAGGAACTGTGCGAAATAACGATCTAGCTGGATATTTCAATCTTTTACCTGGAAGACGAAATATTTTAAGTGAGAATTCGGCGCTTATTGACATAAGGGTTAAACAGTATTTAGAAGCGTCGGTTAAAGAAAGAATTAGGAATTATTTTCCGAACGTAGCCAGCTTTTCGTTAATAAACGACAGGGTCACTTGCTGAAAGGTATTTAGGTACGTATTCTAAACGGCCGACGCTTAGACGCATGGTCGGAAAGGGAATCGTAGGTTACGGGGTTAGAAAAATGGTACTAAACGTTGTAGGAATAAATAACACGGTATTAACATGCGATGGAAGAAACGGCGGATCCTCTTAGGGTTCTCCGTTATGCACGAAGGAAAAACAGTCTAACAGGATTATAATTTGCTGCCTCTGGTTGCTCGAGCCACCCTTCGAACCTCGTTTCATCTACGACCTTTCATCCCCGGGGTTCTGCGCGGTTCCTCCGCGAATCGATAAACAAAACACGCGAAGCGTAAACAGCCCCCGCGCGCGATATTTCCTCGGCCAACCGGTTAGGTTTCCGCCCGCAAACACCAATCCCGGCGGAGTAAATTCTCTTTCGAGGGATCCTCAAACATCTCGATGATGGAAACGACTGTGAAGACACGTCGCCCGCGTGTAGAAACCCGATAAAATTGATACGATCGTGAATACATTCGCGTGGCGATACGCGATTACGAAACTAGATATGACGATGTTAATCCCGAGTTTTCACTTTTTCCCCCGCTGCTTTGTCTATCGTGAATTTTCGTCGTCGTTGAATCTTCGATGTTTCCTTCTGCGAATTTTCTGAATTTCGAATCTTTTTCGTTGCTTTCGTATTCTTGAACGATTCTCTCGAGTCGAAGTTAATTCGGAAAAGCTAAAATACTCGGAGAGAAGTGGGAACTATTTTAAGTAGAATCTTCAGTGTTTTCTTCTACGAATTTTCTGAATTTCGAATCTTTTTCGTTGCTTTCGTAATTCTTGGACGATTCTCTCGAGTCGAAGTTAATTCGGTAAAGGTAAAATACCCGGAGAAAAGTGGGAACTGTTTTATCTCTCGTGAATTTTACTCGTAGTAGAATCTTCGATGCTTCCTTCTGCGAATTTTCTGAATTTCCAACTTTTTTCGTCGCTCTCCTAATTCTTCGCCGATTTCCTCGAAAAAGGTAGAATACCCGGGAGAAAAGTGTAGAACTGGACTCGCGAAGGGTACGGTCCGTTCGAAGATGCTTTTGAACAGGCACTCGAACGAGGTATCCAATATGCAAAGTGGTCGGTGGCCGCGCGTTTCACCTACCATCGGCGTAACTCACAGGAATATCGTTGCGAGTGACGGCAGAGCCAAGAGAGTGTACAGAGCTGATAGGAGCCACCATTACCCATCCCAATGTTCGCGTACAAGCCCGTGCAACCCCCTGTATACAATCTCCGCGTGGCGAACGGACCTGGTCGAGAGGCCCCGGCCCGTTCGTTGTCTACCGTTCGATCGCTTCACCCTTCCAAACATCCCGCACGATGCTAATTAACTGCTCACTCACCCTCTACGATCGAACCATTCGACTTTCCACTGCTCCACCAAGGAACCTTGCTTTACTACGTGCCGATTTAGGTTCGTTCGAACGCCCATGGACGAGGAGAAGGCTTGAAAAACGTGATTCAGATACTAGAGTTGTACGATACTCTACTCGTGAACGAGACTGGTTTCAGCTTCGTTCTCAGTTCGTATCGTTGCGCTCCCGATGTGTTAATCCCGGAAGGGCGAAATTCTAGTAGTTGGTGTGGTGATGGTGAATAATAGGTTCTCTCCTTCAGAATATTTTTGAACTCTGTTTATTTGTGGTGGTGCGTGGGTATATATTAGGTCGGTGTGTGTTCTGATTGGTTGGACGTTGAAGGTGGTGGAAAAGAAGGTCTCGAAAAATAGTGGAAGGAGAACGTGAGGGTGAAAACCCGGAAGGGGGAAAGGGATAGGAAACATGACCAGGATGCGACTTGAACTATTTTATGATAGGGAAGGAATTTGTTAGGGGCTAGGAAGACGGTTGGAAAGGACTGTTTATTAATTTATGATGTGTGTGACTGGCCGGTGGGCTGCGCGAC